TCAGTAGTGCCATATGAAGGTTTGTAGGATAATACAATAATAATAAATATGAATACATTTGCAGATTGTATTTTTACAAGAATAGTGAAACAAGAGTGCAACATGAAAATCAATATAAGATACGAGAAAATTGATGTTCTCATTAATAATGCTGGTCTATGTGGATCAGAAGATAGAAAGATGACTGACGATGGAAACGAATTACATTTTCAAACAAACCATTTAGGCTGTACAACAAATCAAAACCAAAACATAACGTTCCCTAACCTAGAATGCTTTCATGCTTTATGATGAACTAATGTTGGATAATGTTTCACATCTCCATGATTGGATTGATTTGCTCGTAATATGCATCCAGTGTTGAAAGAACCCAGTTAAATTTTAGCCCAGCATGTTTGCTTTGGATGTAATAATTGACTTCATGTACAAATTAGACTGGAACACATATACAGTAAATTCACTTGATCGATAGCTTTCCTTGATTCATTTTTTAAATCCAACACTGGCAACGACGTAATAATCTCTGTTGATTTGCACGATGCTCGAGTTAATATTTATAAAAGTAGTATTATAAAAGTTATACTAGGGTACTTCTATGTTTGGAGTACACTATTAGTATAATCTTTATATACTTCTAGGGAACTACGAACTTAGAAATACCCTAAAGTCACAGACTGTATTCATATTTGTTTTTAATATTATACAGTCTGTGACTGTATTTACACAAAATGTTTTAAATTATTATTATAAAAAATTGCTTATTTGTTCTTTTATTATATATTATTATATACAATAAGAGAACAAATAAGCAATTTTAAATTAATATTTATATTAATAAAATTCGCCTAATATAATAACACCATTGTCGATGATATTATATTTATAATAAAGGTGATATCTGTATCATATTCCTGTCTGTATGAATATGTATGTCTGTATTCTTAAAATAATAGAACATGTTTCATTGTGAACATTGTTTATTATCGTCTATGCCATCAGCGCATAGTGACCCTCGCGTTGATGGCATCTACGATTCCATCTCATGTGACCATGAAAATTATAAATAATAAATAAAAATATTTAATATGTTATTATTTATTATATATTCATATATAATAACACCATTGTCGATGATATTATATTTATAATACAGGTGATATCTGTATCATATTCCTGTCTGTATGAATATATAATATTAATATTAATATTATTAGTATTATAATACTCTAATCTAATACAGCACTCTGACGCTGATACTTCGAAAATGTACCCTAATACAAGCTACAAAATGCTAGGGTACTTCAACTTAGAATTACCCTAGTATTTAAATAATTCTTAGTTTTAATTAATATAGTAGTATTATAAAGATTATACTAGGGAGAAGTAACTTCTTATATTAATATAATCTTCAAAATACTAGTAGGGTAGTAAACCGTGGGGTAGTAGTAGGTTTAGAAATCAAAAGACAAATAACAAATGAAACAAAAACTAAATTGAAGTTATTTAAACAAAGGAACGAGGTCTTAACTCAGAGAGAGCTACTGTCTAAATAGCCATATAAGAAAATATTTATTCCATTATATTTGAATATATGAATACAGTTAATCCATTACAAGTACCAAGCGATCCTTTCAAAATGTTGCTCTGCAAAAATTGCTCTGTCGATCAAAAGTCGTATCCGTATGATGGGGATTTGGGAGATCTCCTAGGTCTGGGATCGATCTGTCCTCCCTATACAAATCTGCAAGTCCCTCTGACAAGGGCCCTCTTCCCAGAGACGGTTCTAGGCCGGTGGCAGATCTTGGTTAATGGAATATCGATTACTGGCTTTAGTCGCGGATAGAGTCAGATTGCTTGAGAGTGCAATCCAAATTAGGAGGTAAACTCCTCCTAAGACTAAATACGATGGTAATATCGATAGCAAACAAGTACCGTGAGGGAAAGTTGCAAAGTACTTTGAAGAGAGAGTTCAAAAGGACGTGAAACCGCTTGTAGAGAAACGGATAGAACCACGAAGTGTAGCTGAGAGGAGAACTCAGCTCCTCTTGTGTATTGTTGCCTTTTTCTATTCAGTGCTAAGAATGCTTTACAGCGTTCCAAGATCAGTAGGTTAAGGGGTAACTTTTAGCCTGCCCTTGGATCTTGGTATTGATAGGAGGAGTGCAATATGTGCATGAGGAGTGCATTTTCTCAACTCTCGTGCTCAAACCACGACCAATGTGAAGGAGAGTGCAAAACTCTTGTTCAAGTGATAACAGCAAGGTGTACTAAACACACACCTAATCAGCATTTAGTTTTCACAGCTACTAATATTCCTTGCGTTGTTAGACTTAGCCTGTGAGCTAGTGTTGGCAACTGTTACCACAGTCACATTGGAGATGAATCTCTGCTTATGCAGGGTCAACAATGCTTGTCATCTGCTCTGACGAATCCGACTAGTCTTTCGTTGATGATGTCTGTTTCTTCACCTGGTGTTGAAACAACTCATGGATTGGCTGGCTTTTGGTGGTTTGTTGGTAAAAGTGGCAAGCTTACGTTAACCTAGTGATTCTGTGGTCAGTAGATCGGTACTCTATCCGACCCGTCTTGAAACACGGACCAAGGAGTCTAACATGTATGCAAGCTGATCAGTCTTGTTTAGGCTTGAAAGCAACTCATGGATTGGCTGGCTTTTGGTGGTTTGTTGGTAAAAGTGGCAAGCTTACGTTAACCTAGTGATTCTGTGGTCAGTAGATCGGTACTCTATCCGTCCCGAAGATGGTGAACTAAGCCCGGACAAGATGAAGCCAGAGGAAACTCTGGTGGAGGTCTGTAGCGATTCTGACGTGCAAATCGATCGTCAGATCCGGGTTTAGGGCGAAAGACTAATCGAACCGTCTAGTAGCTGGTTTCTTCCGAAGTTTCCCTCAGGATAGCTGGCACCAATGGAAGTACCAGTAGCATCCGGTAGAGCGAATGATTAGAGGTCTTGGGGCCGAAATGGCCTCAACCTATTCTCAACTCCTAATGGGTGCGAAGTTCAACTTGTTAAACTTTTAAAGCTGAACATACTTTGTATGATGGTGCCCAGTGGGCCATTTTTGGTAAGCAGAACTGGCGCTGTGGGATGAACCAAACGTTAGGTTAAGGTGCCCGATGCTGACGCTAATGAGATCCCATGAAAGGTGTTGGTTGCTAAAGACAGCAGGACGGTGGCCATGGA